AGGGGAGGAGGTGGGGCGACGGATGAGCCGCCGCGCGCACGCAGCGCGCGCCCCACGCCCCACGTGACTTCTCCCTCCCCCACCCGCTCCCCTGGGCCCTCTCCGCCCCGCCTCCCTCCTAGGTGAAGGAAGATCATTCCCCCCCCATGTTGACCGCCCCCTGCCTTCGCCGCCAAACACGGACTTCATCGGCTCCTGCCGGCCCGGTACCAGTGGTTGGATCCAAGGGAATTCCGGAACCCAGACGGTCCATTACTGCGGCTCTAGGGTGGGCGAGGGGTGAGGGGGCCGGGTTTCCGAGAAGGGGGAGGGGGAAGGCGAAGGCCGCCTAAGAGAGTCACGTGTCTACTGTTTCCGCTGGCGGTGTCGGAAACCTCGCGAGAGTTACGTTCCCCCTCCCTTTTTCCCCTTGCGGGCTGTCGGGAAGAAGGTCCGCGCTCTGGAGTGCCACGAGGAGGTCAGCGGCTGGGCCTCGCGCATGCTCTCAAAGTCGGGCTAGGAGGGGGCCCGAAGCTATTTCAAAAACCTTTTTAGGGGTTGGCTCGGCCCGAGAGGTTACCTAGTGGCGTTTCTGTCGCTTTCAAAAGCTCCGAATTGCCAAGTTACTTCTAGAAAAAAAGTCATTCACATATTCATTGCTTGTTAGGCTCACTTAAAGCACTTTATTCAATATGAAACCGCAGGTAACTCGGAGCCCCTGGGCTCGTCCACAGCCGTTATCGTATCTTAAGGCTGTGACCCCCAGTTTTTTCTTCTTCATACACGCCCAGAATCTTCGCACAATTGCCCTCAGTGATTGCTATAGAATAGGTTTCGTCCCAACCACTTCTCACCTCATTTCCATCCTTTTATGACTTATTTAAATGATCTCTTAACACTGAATAAACAAATTTACTTCTTGGTAATTGTTAGGAGCCCTGGTGGCGCAGTGGTTAAGAGCTTGGCACTAACCGAAAGGTTGGCAGTTCTAACCTACCAGTCCCACCGCGGAAGAAAGATGTAGCAGCCTGTTTCTGTAAAGATTTACAGCTTTGGAAACCCTATGGGGTAGTTCTTCTCTGTTCTGTAGGGTCGCCATTAGTCGTAATCCACTCGACTGCAACGGGTAACCCTTTTGTAAAGTCATTCTGAGAAAGCTGTTTGCCTCCGTTGCTTAGGTAATAGGCACGCCTGGGTGATTTTTGCCCCCTACTGGCGGCGTATCCCACTCGTCTTTTGCTGAAAGCAAACCAAATAGTTGCAACAGTTGGAGGTTAAAATGTCAGTTCTTCAAGAGAAAGTATGGGGAGGAAGAAAATGTATGCATAGCAAGAACAATTATGAATCTTCCAACTTAGCATTTGTATGCGTAAGTGTGTATGATATGTGTATATACATGTACATATTGTTTGGTGCCACGGAGTTGGTTCTGACTCATAGCGACCCTATGTACAATAGAACGAAACACTGCTTGGTCCCGCACCATCTTCACAATTGTTGCTACGTTTGAGCCCACTGCTGCACCCACTGTGTCAGTCCATCTCACTGAGGGCCCTCCTCTTTTTTGCTCACCCTCTACAAACCATGATATCCTTCTCCAGAGACTGATCCCTCCTGACAACATGTCTAAAGTATGTAAGACGTCTCACCATCCTCCCTTCTAAAGAGCATTCTGGTTGTACTTCTTCCAAAACAGATTTGTTTGTTCTTTTGACAGTCCATGGTATATTCAATATTCTTCATCAACACCATAATTCAAAGGCATCAGTTCTTCTTTGGTCTTCCTTATTGTCCAGCTCTTGCATGCATATGTTGTTATTATGTGCCATCAAGTCGATTCCGACTCATAGCATGCATATGAGGCGATTGAAACTACCATGGGTTGGGTCAGGCATACCTTAGTCCTCAAAGTGACATCTTTGCTTTTTAACACTTTAAAGAGGTCTTTGGCCACAGATTTGCCCAATGCAATATGTCGTTTGATTTCTTGACTGCTGCTTCCATGGGCGTTAAAGGTGGACCCCAGTAAAATGAAATCCTCGATAACTTCAATATTCAATATTCAACATATACATTTACTTAAAAATGTTTATACATGTACATGTTGAATATTAAATATTAAATGACTAATCACTTTGCTGTGAGTCCCTGGGTGGCAAAAATGGTTAAGCGCTCAACTACTAACCAAAAGGTTGGTGGTTTGAACCTACCCATAAGCGCCTCAGAATAAAGGCCTGGCAATCTGCTTCCAAAAGGTCACAGCCTTGATAACCCTATGGAGCGCAGTTCTACCCTGCAACACATGGAGTCGCCATGAACCAGGATCCACTTGATGGCAACTGGTTTGGTTTTTGGTTTTGTGGTTTAATCACTTTGTTAATCACTTTACTTGCACAATTTCACTTAATACTCACAAAAAAAAACTATAAAGGTAAAAATAATAAAAACAGTTCCGTAGGAACAAGGACTGTATCATTCTCATTCACTGCTATTCTCTAGACTATCTTCAGGTCTAGTGCAGATGACCAAGCAATGACAGATTGGTCACATCATGAGAGGAGAAAGAAATACAGAAAGGGGTGGCACACAGACCTAAGGATTTCTAGTTAATGAACCAGTGTCTTCAGAGTTTAGTTAGCATAATTCTGTCTCAAAGTGGTCCCCAACTCTACCTGCACACGGGGACTAGCTGAGACTAGACTCTGGAGATGAAGACCTGACCTGGAAACTCCCTCCCTTTGAAGTACTTCCTCATCCAAGCCAGACCCTTGCTGCCATCTCTACGAAGTCTCTTCATCCTGAGCCAAAGTGAAAGATGGTGTTTCAGGGGATATTTATAGATATAACTACACACGTGCACCCAGATGTTATGTACACAGTTACCCATTCTACAATTATTTGTAGAAGCAAAAGATGGGAAACAACCTAAGTGTCTTTGAAGAGAGGACTGGTTACCCAACTATGGTGCTCCCTTACAGAGAAACAGTTGTTCAAAAGAATAAAGCACTTCTATCTAATAAGTACAGTGAAAACCTGTGAAAGCTGGAACCTGCGTGAGGAAAAAACCTGTCAGAGAAGGAAAGCTCAAATAATTCCTGCTAAACAGAGAGCAACAGAAAAGTGGTGATGGTACCCTGTCAAAGGCAGAAAACTTGTGAGACCCGGAAAGACGAGGCAGTCCTGTCGAGTTCCGGCTCTCACACGTTTCACTGTATATGTACATATGAAGGGCACAGTAAAGATTTGTTGAATGTAATGGGACACTCGTATATACCTATGTGTATACATATATATATATGTATATTAATATATATATACTGTGTGTATATATATATATAGAGAGAGAGACAGAGTTCCCTGGTGGTGCAGTGGTTAAGCGCCTGGCTGCTAACCAAAAGATCCGTGATTCTATATCTGTTTGCATGTATGTAGAGTATCTTTGAAAGACAGCACAAGTTAACAGCAGTTGCATCTAGGGATGGGAACTGCGATACTGAGGGTCAGAGGTAGGAGGAAGACTTACTGGGCCCTCCAGAACACACATGCTACTGGAAGCAGATGAGTCAGAAAAATCCCTATCCAGGGACTGACTTCCCATGGCTATTTACACAACATTTCGTGAGTTCCCATTCCATTCAACAGATCTTTACTGCGCCCTTCCTATGCCAGGCTGGGGATCGAAGCTTTAAAAAAGCAAAGGGAAGGCATGGCCCCTGCCCTTGTGGAGCATACAGTGTAGAAGGCATTAACCCCCAAATCACATAAAAGGTAAGAATGTATCTGTGACAGTGCTACCAGGTAGCTAAGACAGCCTATCCCAGAGGTCAAACGCTATTACAGAGTTCAAAGGCGGCTTCCTAGAGGGAGTGATGACTGAGCTGAGATTTGAACAGTAGGTGTGAACTAGCAAAGAAGGAAACAGGTTTCTGTAAGAGGAAACGGCACATGCAAATATCCTGAAACAGGAGGGAGCAAGGCGAATGGGAGGGGCAGGAAGAAGGTAAGTACTTCAGTTATTAAGACGTTGCCGCTCACTTGCTCCACGTGGTATCACCTCTTCTTCCTCAATGAGATATACTTTCTCAGGGGCTCTCTGACCTTGCTGTCTTTGGAAGAAAGTACACCACCACCTCACAGATCGTTCAGGGATTCACACTGCTAGTGACCAAAGGGCGCCCAACAGGGGTTTCAAAAATAGGAAAAGAGAAATTACTAAATTATGTAAAGTCATAAAGGTGATCATGGTAACATAAAATTATGCAAAAATGTCTGTCATTAATGTGAAGCGGAAAGGCAGAACAGGAAATGGAAACTACATTAAAATTACAAATGTGTTGAAAATATGCCTGTAATTGGAAAATAATCAAAACATAGAAAAATGAAAAAAAAATGTATATGTGTGTCATGGTTTGAATTATGTCCCCAAAAAAATGTGTGTATCAC